GTGTTGTGGAATGAGGAACTCATTGAACAGTTTACCCCATTGTGCGGCATTCACCAAGAATGTCCTCTCCCCCTTTTCCTTTCTCTTTGTATTGAGTGGTTGTGTCACCTTATTGATAATGATGTTGCTGAAGGGCTTGGAAACCAATCCGGATTACTCGGGATGGCCCAAGCTTATCCCACTTGTTTTTTGCTAATGATTTGGTTTTACTCGTTGAAGCCTTCAACGAGCCGCATGTTGGAGTGGTTCTCGATTGTTTGGACAAGTTTTGTGGGGCGTCTTGTCAGGCGATCAGTAAGGAGAAATCTGCCATCTTCTTCTCCCAAACGATACCTCACAATGCATCTAGGGAGGTGGTAGGCAAGCTTGACATTCCCATAACAAAAAAAATGGGTCGAGACATGGGTGTCCCGGTTCTTCATTAATGCATTTCCAACTCGTCCTGCCAGGACATTCTGGAGAGGATGGATCACTAGTCTGCAGGTTAGAAAGCTTCTTCGTTAGCATTGGTTGGTAGAGTTACTATGGTCCAATATGTTCTCTCAGCTATTCCTTCCTATATTATGCAGACTATTGTGTTGCATAGTCATATCTGCAATGAGATTGACAAGCGCACCAAGCAATTCGTCTGGGGCTCTACGATGGATGTTCGAAAAAGCCACTTAATCTCATGGGAGAAGATCGGTCAACCCAAGAACCAAGGCAATCTAGGTTTGCGCATGGCGCGAGAGCTCAATCGAGTGTATATGATAAAGTTAGGTTTTCTTCCACTTAAGAAACCTAAAGACTAGTTCTGGGTGCAGGTTCCACCCTCAACATTCTTTCTCTAAATTACCCATTTGGCGAGGCATTATGGCGGCCATGCCAATAGCGGAGCTAGCTAGGAATGATATAAGGCATTCATGATAAGGAAGTGGAGATAGGAATGATATAAGGCATTCGCTTAACTGCAGAGTTCAGTGGTTAAATAGCAGTCATATCTTTCTTAAAACCAATTGGTGATTAGGAAGTGGATACCCTTTATTTAACCCATTACTCTGTAGTCCCCAAGTCAAGGTAGATTCCTGTGGGGCACCCCCCACAGTTCATTACGACAGTGCAGAGCTCCACTACTGAGCGCTGGATGGACATGAGGTGCTGCACCACAGGTTGGGCGGTTAGTCCCTGAATCAAAGGGTGGTGCTGAACCCCAAAAGACCATCAATTTAGGGTTGTTTTGTTGGTCTGATATGATCTGAATCTTTCTGATTTGATCTGAATCTATCTAATCTCATCTGAATTTTCCAAATTGATTAATAATAATGTAATACTACGTAGTAAAGACAATAATAATTTTATTAATAATATCATCCACATATATGATATAATATTAATAAAGATAATAATAATAAAGATAATAATAATAATAACAACAACAACAACAATAATAATAATAATTGTGGCGGCCATGCCAATAGTGGAGCTAGGAATGATATAAGGCATTCATGATTGACGAGACACGTTGTTCTGGTAGCACTGCTAGATGGACTAAGGAATCATGTTGGCTGATTTCCTTTCACCAGATGGACCTTTGCTGAATCTGGATGGTACAATTGCGGACATGGTGACTACTTCTGGTGAGTGGGACTTTGATGTTCTTAATATTTGACTCCCGAAATTTGTTGTTGCTCTGGTTGCGGGAATGCCCCCTGAAAGAGGGGAGGTGGGATGATGTTCTAGTATGGGGTGCTGAGAAGGATGAAAGATTCAGAATCCGCTCTGCCTATGATCTACTCGCTACTGACTAAGAGCCACTTGGTACAATGGACCGATGTCAAGTTTGGCATTGGAACGAACCGAACCGGATTAGACACGTCATTTGGCTAGCGGGCCATGATTGTTTACGAACAAACGAGGAGAGGAGACATCAACACATGACGGACAGTGGCACGTGCAATCAATGTCAACAAGCACCTGAAAGAGGCATGCATGTATTGCCCAGTTCGCTGTTAGAACCTGGACACATCTTACCTATTCTTCTTATAATCACACGAATTAGGATTCTCCGCTGTTGCCTTGGATCAATCACCACATGAAGGAACTGAGCACTAGCCTTCTCTATGAGGTTGCCTGATGGTCTCTCCGGAAGACCGGAAATGAGTTTCTTTTCATCGATATTCACACCACTCCAGAGACTCTGTCACAACATATCAAACTATGGACCGAGATTATTGAGGAGGCTTTAACATGAGACCAATTAACACGACTGGTTCACCCACCAAGATGATGGTGGATGTCTCTTGGTTGTCACCATCACATGAGTGGCTTGCTCTTAATACCGACGGGTCAGTTATTCCTGAAACCAGACGAGCAACTGCATGACGATTGCTCCGCGATGCTGATTGTTGTTGCTCTGCAGCTTATAGAATGAACTGGGGTATTTGCTAGCTCACCATGACTGAATTGAGAGCTGCTGTAACAGGGTTGCAGTTGGTTTGGGAGAAAGGGTATAGGAAGGTACAAGTGCAACCGGATTCGCGAGCTGCAATCCAGCTTCTGATGTGGGTTGGTGAGATCACACACTAACACTCTTTTGAGGTTGTTGGTTTCCGTGAGCTGTTGGATCGAGACTGGATTATTAAAGTTGATCACATTTATCTGGAAGACAACCGGTCTGCTGATGTAAATTATATTTCTAGAAATGATCCTACTTTGTCGTTTCACTTATGATATGTCTTTCTTGGGGTTTCTCAATATCGCTTGATTATGAATGAAAGATAGGTGTTGTTGCGCCCGAGTTTAACAAAAAAAGGAAAATAAAAATTATAAAAAACGAGAAAATAATTGAAATGTCCCAAACTTTTTAGAAGTGTGAGGTAAACACCCTAAACTTGCATATCTAATACAAAAAGTTATCTTAACTTGCCTTTAACTTTATACAAAAAGTTATCTTAACATCATGATAATATCTTTTTCTTTCATAAATGTAAACTTATAGTGTTAAGTAAATAATTTAGATATTATAAGCATTTTTGGTGTGCAATTAGCAATATAAACTTGTTTGTTAATGTTATTTATTTCAAATACTGAAGTTTAGATTAATAATTTCATCCTTATAAATGCCCAAAATATTTTAAATTTTATATTTTAACACTATAAATTTACATTTATGAAAGAAAAAACAAATTATGATGGTGCCAAGATAATTTTTATATAAACTGTGGGGTATTTTAATTGTATATGCAAATATGCGATGATTACTTCATGCCCATTAAAAGTTTGGGTATTTGAATTATTTTTCCCTATAAAAAAGTAGAAAAAAATAAAATAAGGGCCAACTAGACATCCACCTGGACAAATAACTCGGTTACCGGCCGGTAAGATACAAAATAGCTACTTTGGTAGTATTTTAACAATTCGAGAACTTTATTGATTCATTTTATGGTACGAGAACTCAATTTACTATGTGACAGTTTTCTCTAAAAGTAGAGGACTTATCGGCTTAAAAAGGCTAAAAAAGATATTTTCAAATGACAATTTCTGCTTAAATAAAACACTAAAAAGTTAAAAGCTAGAATCTGTTTTTTACTTTTTCTATTATACAAAAACACATATTTTACCAGGCACCACCCACTTCTACTTTTCAAAATTACTTTTCTCTCAAACACTATCAACTTTTACTATTAAGCATTTTTTCGAAATCTGATTTTTTTAAAAGCACAAACTATTGTAAACACTCCTTGCAAGGGAGAACTAGCAAATAAACCCTCGAACATTCATAAAAGTGCAAATAAGTCATTTTATACGAGGCTTTGTTCGGCCGTTGCCATTTGGGGCGGTTTCCGGTGGAATTTTTTTATGAAATTTTTTTATATCTTCTTCATTAAGTCTTGTTTACTCATACCAAATTTCAGATAACAATTCAATCGGGAAGGCAGTCAAATGAATTTTTGAAGATAACTGCGCAGCTAGACAGCGCAGTATATTTCAGAAAATCATTTGACTTTCTTCTCGATTGAATTTTTAGCTGAAATTTGGTATGGGTAAAGTAGACTTAATGAAGAAGATGCTCAAAAACTTTCATCAAAAAAATACACTGGAAACCGCCCCAAATGGCAACAGCCGTACAAATCTTCATGTAAAAGGGCTTATTTGCACTTTTTATGAAAGTTCGAGGGCTTATTTGATAGTTCTCCCCTCCTTGCAATAGTCTATTACTTAGGGGTGGGAAAACCCGAGCTGAAACCCAAAAACCGGCCCTGACCCGGCCCGAATTATGATATTGGTCCGGGTTTTTTCTTTTTGACCGACCCGAATAAAAAAACCCCGGACCGAACCCGAAATTTCGGGTTCTTTAACGGGCCCTAAAATCTATAACCCGGCCCGGACCGATAAAACCCGAAACAATTAGCCTTAATATAAAATGAATATAATATATCAATATAATTTATAAATTAATTCCTAATATATGATTATAATCATGATGGACGAAAAAATGTCTTAATAACTTTTAGTGACTACAAATATGTTCGATTTATTTAACGTAATGACCATGAAAACATATTTATAGTAACCTTAGTCACATTTTTATCCATATGTTTTATTTCATAACATTTTTAGAACACCTATATTACTTATTTTTATGCATCTTAAACAAAATATTATGATAATTGGCTTCTTTGGATTTGAATTCTTGGTGATTTTGGAGACTAATATTTGTGATTTTTATTAATTTTATTCGCGGTTTGTACTTTTATTAATTTTATTTGAAAATAGATTTTAAAATATAAAAGAAAAATGAGTGATTTCACATTCGGGCTTTAACCGACCCAACCTGAACCCGGGCTACAAAAAACTCGACTCGGACCGAATATTGTGGGCTTTTTTCGGTCCCTAATTTTCATAACCCGATAACTTATGAGTAATTTCCGGGTTTAGCAAAAACCCGATCCGGACTGGACCGATCCCACCCCTACTATTACTTGCAATAGACTTTATTATCAATCTGAATACCCTTTTGTGCTGTATCCGCAATTATTAAATCAGCAACACCGGCCCGACCCAATTTAACAGAGCCGGTATGAATGTATGATAACTCTCAGGGTACCCTCCTGGATAACGGCTTTCAGCCACTCAATTAAGGCTTTGTCCGCGGAGCTAGAACTATTTCATTTTACAGGTGAATAAAGCTCGCTGAAATGGCTTCCACGGCATATGCAGGCGCCTATAGCAGCCTTATATGCAAAATCAGGGTGGTTTCTGTGTTGGGTGTACCTGTTCTTCCGTTGAAGGAGCTAAGAAGGAAACCAGGTCTGCGTGTTTGTTTCTCCAGCTCAGTTTTAACTCCTTTATTTCTCTCTATATGTCCCAGATACTTAGATTATAGAGTTTTAAATTCCGTTTATGATAGACTATAATTTGTTTTCCTTTTGTAGAACTATTACTGATCAATACTGTGTTGTGGTTCCTTTTAATAATTACGGAGTACTGGGGTGTTTGAATTTGATTCTTAAAACTGTCTTTCTTCTCCTTCAGGGAGAAGTTGGAGTGTTTATGTAAAAGTGAAGAAGTGATTCTGGTGTTATAATTTACTCATAGAATAAGTTTTTTTAGAAGCTGGGGTGACCGTCTTCTGAAAACTTATTCTGATTCTGCTTCTACTTTAAAAAAGAAGCATAATCAGAATCAGTTCCAAACACCCCTATATTTTTTCTTTTTCTTTTTCATTTGAGAGAAAATGAGGAAGTTGGAAACAAGGACGTCTCTAAGAACAAGCTCCTCAAACAATTGGATTGGGCCATACGATATTACCAAAAATATTCCCCACACACATGAATATGGTCATAACGTGTGTGTGTGTATGGATTTCTAGGCTAAAGTTAAAACAATTATGCCAAATTTTATGCATTATGCGTATTAATGGGTATGATTGTCAATTTGTCATACATATCCTTTTCTCATCTTTCGAGTTGTTTTTATTAAACATATAATAGTTTAAAAATGGGAAACTATCGGAACATAAAAATTCATATAAATAAATCTTTATATATATAAAAAGGAGATCGTCTGCCCCATAACTGTTCCCGCCCAAGGAACTAAACGGTATCTACTGGGCACACGTGTCATATGGTGTAAAAATGCTAACAATATCAGAACACTCCTTAATTTCGCAATATATCTAAAAATTATGTACACACGTGGACAGTAAAATTAAAGCTCAGCAACTACAATGATTCCAAAAATGGTTGCGATGGCGGAAAACTTTCATAACCGAGGGAGATCGCGAACACCTCAACAACTTCATACGAGAATTTCGCGCAGTCTGATAGGCTCCAGAGGTAACTCTGTTCATTCACATGTTAATTGGATCGTACGCATGGAGAGATATTTCCGCTTGAATCATATTGAAGAGGAAGAAAAAGTGGAAGCATCCATGGTTGCGATGGAGGATAGAGCCTTGAACTGGTTCCATTTATGGGAGATACTATCATTGGTATCAAAGCATTACGCTCCTGGTAGTTACAGAATTGGTCGGAGAAGTACAGGAATCCAGATTTTTTTTTTCATTCGAAGGTGCTTGGTTCGAACGAGAGGCAAAATGGATCATCGACTGGAATCGTTGGAGCGAAATCAGCAAGAGATGCATTCCGCGTTGGATGCTCTCACAGCAAAAATGGATGCGATGGCGGAAAACTTTCAGAACCGAGGGAGATCGCGAACACCTCAACAACTTCATACGAGAATTTCGCGCAGTCTGATAGGCTCCAGAGGTAACTCTGTTCATTCACATGTTAATTGGATCGTACGCATGGAGAGGTATTTCCGCTTGAATCATATTGAAGAGGAAGAAAAAGTGGAAGCATCCATGGTTGCGATGGAGGATAGAGCCTTGAACTGGTTCCATTTATGGGAGAATCAAACGGAAGAAACTACTTGGGAAGCCTTGAAGAAATCTGTCATTCGCAGATTTCAACCGAAGTTAATTCAAATTCCATATGGACCGCTATTGAGTTTGAAGCATACTGGAACTGTGAAGGATTACACAGATGAATTTGAAATGGTGATCGCTTCGCATCTGACTTTGGATAGGGAATTACTGCGAGGAGTTTTCATGACTGGTTTGAAGGATGAGATCAAATCAGAGTTGAAATTGTTCACATCTAGGTCTCTAACTGAGATTATGGATAAGGTTGTCCTGATTGAACAAAAGAATGAAGCACTCTATTTGAAAAGGAAGGAGGAAGACAAGTTAGTTGGAAGAGACAAAGGATCTGCATCAGTTAAACCTCAGACTTGGGGGGATGGTTTTAAGGCAAAATCTGGTAACTCTTGGTCATTTCAAAATAAGCTGGGTACAGAAAACAAGAACAGCAGTTCAGGGAGTGACAGGATAGCAAACAAGTTTCCTGCAGCTCAACCTTCTGGGATTAGAAGGGTAGGGCCTCAATTATCTCAAGAAGAGTTCAGGAAAGGAGTAGAAAAGGATTATGCTTCAAATGTGGGGACAAATGGAATAAGGAGCATACTTGTAAACTAAAGAATTACAAGTTGATGTTAATTGAAGATTCTGATGGGGAGGAAGTACCAGAGGAGGGCAGTACAATTGTGACAGAACATGAAGAGGCAGTAGATATGGAGTCTAAATCGATGCAGTTATCTCTCATGAGCGGGGAAGGGATACCTACTATGAGAGCTTTCAAGGTGATGGGAATTGTGAAATGGGCAAAAGGAGATCAGTTAGTAGAGCAGCTGGGGCTACCTTTTAATACCATACCTAATTACAAGGTTCAGATTGGGAATGGAGAGAAGATAGCTAATAATGGGAGATGCGAGGAGCTGACACTGAGCTTGCAGGGTACAGACATTAAACAGGATTTTTATATCCTCAGTTTGGGAGGTACATATGTAGTATTGGGTATGGAGTGGCTGACTAGCTTGGGAGATGTTGAAATCAATTTCCAAAAGCAAACTATCAAGTGGCAGGCTGGCAGCAGCTGGGTCTAGAGTTGTATATTCAGGGAGATCCAAAACTGAATTCCATGGAAGTTATTTTGTTTATTGTGAAAGCAGTACATTGAATATGAAGAACTGTGGGGAGCTGGAACCTGTGTGGGAACATATTTTGGCAGAATTCCCAGAAGTTTCTCAACCTTTGGAGGGGCTGCCTCCCATCAGGAGCTGTGATCATTCCATTACCATTCAAGAAGGAGCTACCATACCTAATATTAGACCTTACAGATACCCTCACTATCAGAAGACTGAAATTGAAAGGATTGTGAAGGAAATGTTAGATTCTGGAATAATTTAAAACAGCCCTAGTCCATACAGCAGTCCAATACTTCTAGCCAAGAAGAAAGATGGTGGGTGGAGGTTCTGTGGAGATTACAGAGCCCTAAATAAGATTACAGTTCCAGATAAATATCCTATTCCTATCATAGAGGAACTACTTGATGAGCTTGGGGAAGCCAAATATTTTTCTAAACTGGATTTGAAATCTGGTTGTCACCAGATTCGAATGAAGGAGGAGGACAGGAAGAAGACAACTTTCAGAACGCATGAAGGACATTATGAATACTTGGTGATGCCCTTTGGCTTGACAAATGCGCCTTCCACTTTCCAAGCTCTCATGAATCAGGTTTTAAGGCCATATTTGAGGAAGTGTGCCTTAGTATTTTTTGATGACATCTTGGTTTATAGTAGATCTATAGAAGACCACAAAGAACATTTAAGAGCAGTTTTATCTGCTTTGAGGGATACTCAGTTGGTGATTAACCTAAAGAAATGTTCCTTTGGGCAGCTTCAACTGATCTACTTAGGGCACATCATCTTTGGAGAAGGAATAAGAGCTGACCCTACCAAGATTGAAGCAATGGTTACCTGGCCAGCACCTAAGAATTTGAAGGAGTTAAGAGGTTTTCTAGGGCTGACAGGTTATCATAGGAGGTTTGTTAAGGGGTACAGTAAGATTGCCTTGCCCCTTACACAACTTCTAAAGAAGGATTGTTTCCAATAGGATGAAAAGGCTTTACAAGCTTTTGAAGAATTAAAGAAGACCATGACTTCTTTACCAGTATTGGCAACACCTAATTTCAATAAAACATTTACTTTGGAAACTGATGCTTCTGGAACTGGGTTGGGAGCAGTTCTAATGCAAGAAGGGAAGCCAATAGCCTTTATGAGCAAAGCTTTATCAAAGAGAAACCAAAACAGATCTGTGTATGAGAGAGAGCTTCTAGCCATTGTTCTGGCAGTGCAGAAGTGGAGGCCCTATTTGTTGGGCAGATCTTTTGAGATTCTGACTGATCAGAAAAGTTTAAAATTTCTAACTGAGCAAAGATTAATGGGGGAAGAGCATAATGGGGGAAGAGCAGCAAAAATGGACTTCAAAATTATTGGGGTATAATTTCACTATCAAATATATACCTGGAATTGAAAACAGAGCTGTTGATGCTTTGTCCAGGAGACCTATACTCCAATCACTATCCATTGTGACATGCCAGGAATGGGAAGGCTTGGAGGAAGAATTCGAATCAGATCCTAAGTGTACAGAGTGGATTCAGAAGGTGATTTCACATCCAGACCTGCACACTGAATTTCAGATGAGAAAAGGATTACTTTACTACAACAACAGGTTGGTCTTACCACAAGGATCCCCCAGAATAACCAAATTATTGAAGGAGTATCATGAATCTGCAGTTGGAGGACATTCAGGGTATTTTAGAACCATGAAAAGGGTTTCTAATCTTTTCTTCTGGCAGGGAATGAGAAAAGATATTAAGAAATTTGTGGAAGAATGTGAGATTTGTCAGACAAATAAATATCAGGCTCTCAAACCAGCAGGGTTGTTACAACCCTTACCAGTTCCTAATAGCATTTGGACTGACATAAGTATGGATTTTATTGGTGGATTGTCTAAGTCAAAAGGGAAGGATACTATTTTGGTCATTGTGGACAGACTGACCAAGTATGCTCATTTTGTGGCTCTATCACATCCCTTCAATGCTAAGGAGGTGGCAAATGTATTCATCAAGGAGGTTGTCAGACTGCATGGTTTTCCTAAAACCATAGTTAGTGACAGAGACATTGTATTCCTAAGTGCATTCTGGTCAGAGCTTTTTAAGTTGGCTGGGACTCAGCTGAAGTATAGTACTGCTTACCACCCTCAAACGGATGGCCATACTGAGGTGGTCAACAGATGCACTGAAACATATCTGCGATGTCTGACTGGAAGAAAACTTAGGAAATGGGTTCAATGGCTACATTGGGCTGAGTATTGGTATAATACCAATTATCATGCTGCTATGAAAATTACTCCTTACAAAGCTCTATTTGGACAGGATCCACCTGCAGTAATTAGAGGAGATGTAACTCTAACTGCTGTAGAAGAAGTCTCCAAGTTAACTGCCCAGAGAAATATCATTTTGGATGAATTAAAAGAGAATTTGGCTAGGGCCCAGAATCAGATGAGACAACAAACCAATAAACACAGGAGAGAGGTTCAGTTGGAGGTGGGAGAGAAAGTTTATTTGAAGATACAACCTTACAAGCTAAGAAGTTTAGCTGAAAGGATAAATCAAAAGCTCAGTCCCAGATATTATGGACCCTTTGAGATAATTGACAAACTCAGTTCAGTAGCTTTTAAGCTCAGTGAGGAATTAGAACTACAGGTGGTGCCAGAAGATATCTTGGATACAAGGGTTGATAAACAAGGGAATGTGGAAGTACTGGTACACTGGAGCAATCTGCCCAACTTTGAGGACTCCTGGGAACCTTTATTAAAGCTCAAAGAACAATTTCCAAAGCTTCACCTTGAGGACAAGGTGAAATTCCAGGGAGGGAGTAATGATAGACAAGGAGCAAATGAAACTGTTCAGTTTTACAACAAAGTTTATAAAAGAAGGAGGAATAGAGCAGTTAATAATAATAACGACTAAACTAACTAGTCTGTTAGTTAGTTAGTAGAGGTCCCTGCGTGGACTTTACTATAAATAGAAGGTGAATAAGCTAGTAAAGGTGGCTGTTGTTTGGCTAGAACTGGACTAGGAGAAGGGACATCTCGAATCGTCCATTGCTGTATACGAATTGTCATCTCTCACTTACATCAATAAAATCTTTCTCTCTTATTCTGTTCTTCCATCTCTACTCTTGATTACTCTGTATTATTTCTATTGCATCAAGCCCGTATTCTCAGCACGGTCCCCTACTTGGAACTCATTGTCACTTGTCACTGCTGAGTCATATACTGTATTAATTGTTACTTCTTGAATGATAATGGTGGTTGGGGAAGGTAGTGATAACTGATACATAGTATTTGAAATTTAACTGCAAGTCCTTGATATTCAGTGGTGTTTCTGATTGAGGTAAAAAGGACTGATTTTGAAAAGAATATTTATGAGTGCAAAGTGTTTGATATCAAAAAACATTCTTGATCACAACAAAATTGTGCCAACTTTTAAGCTTTTGCACTCTATACACTACTACTATTCATCCCTCTTCCAGATCTAATTGTATCCGTCAGTGAAGACTAGTGCTTCATAGAATATTATCATACCCCAACTGAATAGCCTTGTGGATTATTAATTTCTTCCATAGTTACAACATTCAATTTGTTAACTGAAATCTGAAAACTATGTGGCTGTGACTGAATATTACTTTTGTGATAGCTTTGATCAGGATAATGGTCATTTACAACTTTCTGTGATCTCCATACAGAAAATGGTACCTCCCGCAGACTTCCTAGAACTGGAACTTCCACACTTCTAATGAGTAGATCATACTCCACTTCAAAGGAATCAAATATACTAGTACCAGAGTGCAGTTTAGATTCGAATAGCAGTAATGACAAATCCCCTAAACAAGATAAGGCAAGTTTGACCCAAGCAGCTTCCTTTTTCATGTGTGCCCCCACCCCAAAATAAGGTTCTTACTATTAACTTAATGGGATTTTTTTTCTCTTCTCCTTTTTTGATGAAATCTTTTGTGCTTTCCAGCTGCTGCTCTTGATTGAGTATTTTGAAATGCAGTTTTATTTTGAATCTGTTCTTTAGTTTTAAATCGATGTCAAAGTCTGTAACCGTTGTAATTTTCTAATCTTATATTTCATATGATACTTTAAATAACAAACCTTATTGATTTGAAAAGGATCGGTATAGATACGTATTAACTACTTTTTGAATTGATTGGGGAAAGTATGCTAAATGAGTTTTTCTGTTTAATGTTTCAGGACAAGAAAGTGATTCTGAATTATGTCAATCTTCGTTTATCATAGAAAGTGACAAACAATCCAGTAATAGGACAAAGACGTAATACATTTCCTCTTTTTTTCAAGCTGGGCCAACATTGTTTTTCCTTGAAGATAAGACCCTTTCACTCATAAAAAAGTTTTAGCTTCTTTTACTGTTTTAGTAAGACTGAATGAGTTCTACTTTAGTACTTTAGGTGAAAAAATGATTCTCTTAAAGGCTAACACATGACTCATGTTATACTCCTATTAACATGTAGTTGCAGATTTCTATATTCATTAGCTGAAAAGATTTGTTATTGTTCTTAGTTATGCTAGTGATGTGATCATAATGCAGATTCCTTTTGGATACACGAGAAAGGATGTTCTATTAATTGGACTTGGACTCACAGTTGTTGGCTATGGCCTAAAAAGTGGATTGGAGGTACTACATATTTTTGCCTCACTTTGGAAAAGTGGTAGATAAAGGAAAACAAAAGCTAAGGAATGTTATTATTTCAATGTTGGGTTTACCTTGGAAAACACAAAGGAAAATGAAAACTGATTCCCTTTTTAAAAATTTCACATGTATTTAGATTATGTGATCTTTATATAATAGTAATAAATAAATAAAATGATTTTTAAACAAATATATAAAGATTTATTCAGTTTGAGGTTATCTTTTGTTTCTCCCAGCTTTTCTTCCTTCATGTTTTCTTTTCTATTTTCCTCCCTATTATATGTCCCTTGGTATTATCCAAGTTCCAAATGGACTCTTATGAAGTACTTTGATTCTTTCACCATCAACTCCCATGATGATATCATTATGCAGTTATTTGGTGTTGATTCACTACAAGCTGGAAATGTAGTTCAACTGGTCATGGTCTTGGGTCTAACAGTTGGATGGATCTCGACATACATCTTCAGGGTTTCAAACAAGGAAATGACCTACGCTCAACAATTAAGACAGTATGAGAGCAAAGTCATGGAGGTATGTTCATTTTAAGTAACACTCGTGTTTAGGAAATAACAAAGGTTCTGATATAGTTCAAATAACATTTTGGGTTTGGCACGCTGTCGTCGTGCGTGTACCAAATATAATTCAGTACTAATCACTAATATTGTAGTATAGTGAAATAGAGTTCGTATCTAGTGGGAAAGATACTTTTCTCGTTTGAGTTTAGTCAAACAACGTAACAAAAAAAGGGGTTCAAGGTTTGTATGAACTTGAAAAGATTAAAACACTAATTTGAATGAATTATGAGGGTAAATAAATCAATTGAGATTGAGACTTGGTTTTGCTCATTTCCACTTAATAAATTGCTAGTTGATCACGGTAATCCTTCAAACTTTCTTTCTTGAATACTTAATTGTGGAATTTAACTTTCAATTCATCAATATTTTCAAAAAAAACTTTCAATTCATCAATGATAACTGTTAATAATAGAACACTTTCCTTAATAATAAAACGCATTCCTTAATAATAAAACACATTCCTTAATAGCCCTTACTATTAGCCAATCTAAAAACAAACGTTCTAGATTTAACTAATAGTAGTGATGAACCTTAGATGAAATCAATGAAGTGATAGAACACTGGCAATCAATTCAGAACAATAGAATACAAACACAATCAAAGAAGAACAGATCAAAGGATTTTATTGAATAAGGATGAAATCAAAGTAGGTATACAAGCTTAGGGACAATTCGAGATGCCCAGTCTCCAAGCCTATTCCAACAGAATACTTGCCTGCCTCATTTGCTACCCTCCCTTTCTATTTAAAGTACAAGCCCACTTATTATTATCTAATTAATAGGCCCACTTATTATTATTATTATCTCTAATAATAGGCCCATTCCTATCACTACTCCCCCCCTAAATAACCACCTTGTCCTCAAGGTGGGTGATAGGAATCAGCCATGATCTTCCACTTCCACTTCATTCTGGCACCTCTCCCTTCCCAGTACCCCATTGCATTCTGGATCTTTAGCTTCAACACTTGAGCCATCCTCTTTACCTCCACCATCGCATGAATGAGCAGAGGCAATGACACTGTTGAGTCATGCTTCCCTGCTTTGTCACTCCATCCAAGTGATTCCTGAATCTTGCTGTTATCATTACTTTGGAGGATTATTCCTTCACAAAAAACCAAATATCCATCCCCTGCATCTTGTAATATTTGAGTCATGGTTTTCAAAGAAATCTCTAAAGAGTTTAGTTGTGGGTCACCTTGTATCATCTGATTCTGCCCTTGTTCCTGCCACCTTATAGTTTTCTTTTGGAAGTTGACTTATACATCTCCCAAACTGGTCAACCACTCCATCCCAAGCACTACATCAGTTCCCCCCAGCTCGAGGATGTAGAAATCCTGCTCAACAACTGCCTCCTGTAAACATAAAGCCAACCCTTCACATCTCCCATTGTTAGCCAATTTGTCTCCATTTCCAATCTGCACTTTATATCCTGTAATGGTGTTATAAGGTATTTTCAAATGATTTACCAACCCTTGGGATATGAAGTTATGTGTAGCTCCACTGTCAATCAAGACATCCACTTCCTTTTCTCCTAGCTTCCATTTTAAGTAACCTTTTACTTTAAAAGCTCTCATGGAAGGTATTCCTTCCTTACTCATGAGTGACAGTTGCATGGACTTGGATTCCATGGCAACTTCCTCCTCTTCTGAACTTTCTCCATTTCCTTCTTTACATTCTGCCTCTTCTTCAGAATCCTCCACCAAGATCAGTTTGTAATTCCTCAATTTGCATGTGTGTTCCTTACTCCATTTGTCACCACACTTGAAACACAACCCTTTTCTGCTCCTCTCCTGATAGTTGTGGCCCTACTCTCCTGATCCCAGAAGGATGTATTTCTGTCACCTTTCTTCCCATAGTATTTCCCCAATGAATGTTACTCTGATTCTGATTGCTACTTCCTGCATTGTTAGATCTGGTTTTATATCCCTCTCCCCAGTTTGGAAGTTTACTCAGAATAGGTCGCTTCTCCCTTCCCACCAGTTTGTCATCCTCTTTTCTCTTAGAGTATATTGCATCATTCTTCTGCTCAATCAGTATAGCTTTATCCATAATTTCAGTTAAAGATCTGGAAGCATACAATTTCAACTCAGATTTAACCTCATTCTTCAAACCTGTGATGAAAATTCCTCTCAGCAAATTTGTGTCCATATTCTGTTGAGGTGCCATCACCATTTCAAACTCCTCTCTATATTCCTTCACTGTACCAGTTTGTTTTAAACTCAATATAGGTCCGTAAGGATTTTGAAGTAGTTCCGGTTGAAATCTTCGAATAATAGATTTCTTCAAAGTCTCCCAGCTAGTTTCTTCAGTCTGATTTTCCCACAAATGAAACCAGTTCAAGGCTCTATCTTCCATAGCAACCATAGAGGCTTCAACCTTCTCATCCTCTTCAATATGGTTCAATCGAAAATACCTCTCCAATCTTATAATCCAGTTATATGCTCCCTCACCGTTAAACAAGGGTAAATCTATTTTCTGCCGGTGCGTACAGGTATTCTCGTATGTTCATCACTACGACGATGATCGTTGATATTAGAATGAACGGAATTACCTCTGGAATGTACTGGACTGTGCGACGATCGCGATCTTCCCTTGTACTGATTTTTTTCATTCATCGCTGCCATAGAAGCGTTGATGTTCTCCATCGCAGACCTCAGCTCCATCTGCAACTCGGTTTGCACTTCCAGAAGGTTGCGTCATAGTAGTCAATGGCTAGATATGGCGCGCGCCATATGCGCTATCGCCATGAAAAAGTGTTCGTCGCCATAGCGCCATATGCGCTTTATGCGCCATTCGTATATGCGCCATCGCCATGCGCCATGAAAAATGCCTTTGAGCCATGGCAATCGCCATGCGCCATGACTACTGTGGGTTGCGTTCCAGCGAATCAACTCGGTTCTCCATTTTAGCTCTCGTTCTGACCATTCACACCTTGAATGACTTCTTTCAGGTGGTGCGACACACTTCCAGGTCACCAGAAACGACGGCTCTGATACTAATGATAGAACACTGGCAATCGATTGAGAACAATAGAATACAAAGACAATCAAAGAAGAACAGATCAAAGGATTTTATTGAATAAGGATGAAATCAAAGTAGGTATACAAGCTTAGGGACAATTCGAGATGCCCGCCCGTCTGCTGCTAGGTCCGGGAATGGCGCCCACCAATTGCCTTTGAAACCATTCAGATGTTACTAAATCTTTAGCAGGACCCTTGTGGTTACTATAACTGGTCTGTGCAAAGTCGAAAAGATGTGCTTTTTATGCTTTCTGACTTTCAATAAAGTACTTGGAGAAGTAATAAATCACGACGATTCTGTATCGGGTAGTCCAACCGGATTAGATCTCAACCTGTGCCTACCCAAAAGGTTCGAAACTTCAATCGTCGGAGCATGGAGGGAAATGAAATGAATAGTTTAGATTCCAGTTTGAATTCCGCTCTCCTTCTTTCGAAGTTGTAAATTGGTCGAAATATTCAATTCTTGTAGCAGCGCTTCGGATCCTGCTCCTCTGCAATTTTTTCGGAACGAGACATTGTCCGGTACCCTGCCCCCCGCAAATCGGTATAGTCTCCAAGCCTATTCCAACAGAATACTTGCCTGCCTCATTTGCTACCCTCCCTTTCTATTTAAAGTACAAGCCCACTTATTATTATCTAATTAGTAGGCCCACTTATTATTATCTAATTAATAGGCCCACTTATTATTATCTCTAATTAATCATTCCTATCATGAAGGAATGATAACTACAACACATGCGGTTTTAGTTCTTCAACATAATTAATCCCTCTTTAGATTACTAAACATGAAATGCATGCATTAATAATTCAAAGTAACTACTTTGAAAAGATCAAATAAACAATTATGGGTTTATTGCTCTTTTGTAGACTTGTAGTAATAACCAATACCAAATCAATAACTAGTTGTACACCTAGCAATACTTTAATATAGCAAAGCCAAGATAAAAGGGTTTAGCTCCTCATAGAAGTCGAAACACTAGAAATATAATAAATAATGCTTATCTAAATAAGCTTTTTGATCTAGAATAATCGATGTCCAATTGGAAACAGTGGCGGACCCAGAAAATCAGAGTCACGAGGTCCCTACTCTAATGTAACTAATTAATGTAAAATTAATAAAAACAGAAGTAAAATACTATAGTAGATAATGTTTCATAGTTAATTTTGATCCCGAGGTTGAAATGGCCCATTTTGAATGTAACTACGGCGCAACTCGTCTTAAACATTAGGATGAAAATAGGCAATTTAATTTCACATTCAGCAATTATTTGATCCAGTTCTTCATTTAATAATGACGAATCACTTGAATTAACATCTGAGCTATGTATTCCCGGTACTCCAAATTTCTTTAAATTTGGGTAGACTATCGTAATATCTATTCATCCTAAATAATGAATTATTGAAAAAACATTCATAAATATCATAAATTTAATTATTTAATATTAACATTCAAATAAATTTAATAATTCATCCCAAAAAATCAGTTTTTTAAAATTGATAATAAGAATATTTTAACAATGTTTCTAAAAAAATTAATTTTTAAATAGAGAAATACTGAAATAGAGTATGTGAATAGTGTAGAATTCAACATGTTGCAATTATTTAAAAACGGAGACAAAAATAGGAGTCTTAACTTTTCAAATGAGGTCTATTTTACAAACAATCAATTAACTTATACAAAAATGATTTATAAAAGGAAACAAGAAAACAAAGAGAAGCACACGTGCACCCAGTGTAAAAGGACTTCTTTGATCTTTCAAGTTCACAAAAAAAAACTCGTAGAGGGGAATCGATCCGTGTACCTCCCAAAGTGGTAGAGCTTTGAACGCAAAGCATGCTACCATTAAACCCATCCGTTCTTTACATATCAATTAAGCTTTTGTTTTATATATACGTTTCTTAGCTAATTTTTATATAGCTAATATATATAGTACATGGGGTCCCGGGACCCCGTGGGACCCTCAGTGGGTCCGCCACTGACTGGGAAGACAAGAGATGAATTCATAAGAGAAATCATATTGCTGAATCGGACACTGACCGAGTATATAGGATATCCGAGCGGGTGTCCTTCACAATATCCTGGAAGGCCCGGTTCTTGAGTCATACCTGAACGGGCATGATAATATACTCGAATGGGTGTATGCATGGTTCTAAAAATTAGCCTAGGCGCTTGCTTAGGTGGTGGCCGGGCTCCCCGTTTTATTGTAATCCGTGGGAAAAATCGGTCGGCCGTCTAGGCGGTGCCTAGGCGGTCCAGATTAAACTTTTTCTTGACCCAACTTATTTTTTTCGTTTTTGTCTTAAAACATCATTTGATCGATAAGTATTTTATTCCTATAAATTTTAGTTTCATATTCCTGCAATGAAAAATAATTTTTAAATATAAAATGTCAACTATTTAGAATGTACTAGTGTACTACGTAGCATATGAACATTTTTAGAGGCTAAAAACACAAATCTCTTCATTTATCTATTAATTATTTTATTATTGATAATTTTACTACAAAAACATAACATCTAATGATTATATGAGCTATTTCTATTGTCAAAATACTATACTTCATAACACTATTAGTACTATATTTAAATTTTAAAGGAAATTAAAAAAACAAAGAAATAAAAGGGATACCTAGGTGGCCTAGTCGGCGCCTAGGCGCCCGCTTAGGTGGGCTACTCGCTTGGCTGCCAATCACCGCCTGACTAGCATCTAGCGCCTTTTAGAACATTGTGTATATGTGACATTTTTCAGGTCGAATCATACCCGATCAAATATTGATTGTACCTGACCAAATGTAATACCAGATCAGTTTTTTGCATTTTCTTTTGTTCTCTTGCACTTTCTTTTAATCTTCTAAGATTTCTTCCACCATGCTTTATTGTTGATTGTTTGCTGATTGATTGATGCTTGCTCAAAGTCATCTAAAATCATCATGTTACAATAAATTTGAAAAAAAAATGCACCGTAAATGTGCAAATACTACTGCAACATACCGTATAGCTGCTACTTCTGTCCCAAAAAACTTTACCATCTTTAAATTTTTGACCAACTATATACTATCCTCCGTTCTTTAATTCTTGCAACAGTTTGACTTTAACGTTTGCCAATGCACAACTTTGACTGTAAATCTGTAATTATATTTAATTATGTATTAGTAAACTTTATAAAAATTTGATATTTTGGAAATTCACATTGATAGGAATTTAATAACATTTTATACGTAATAATTTGATTATGTATATTAGTAGAAAATCGTGGTCAAATTAAGGTCTGTGAATAGTGTAAAAATCACAATGTTGCAAGAATTAAAGAACTGAGGAAGTATTTTTATTGGAAAATATTTATAATATAAAAATGATATGAAAATGTTCTTTGTTAAAAAAAACTTTCATAGAAGTATAATATTTATAACATCCATAATATTTTACCAATAATGAGATGTCAAAGCTTTTTGGGACAGAGGTAGTACTTAACACTAAAAACATAAACACTAAAAACTAACACAATCTGGGTTTTCTATCATTTTTTTCTTCCATTTCTTGTTTATGATTTCTTCTATCAATCAGCACCCAAAAAAGCTTTAATGGAAACATTCTTGATTAATATCTATATTCCTAAACTTTACAGAAACGACTAGAAAGCTTAACAGAAGCAGAGCTACAAGCATTACTTGAACAGGTGGAGGAAGAGAAGCTAGCTAAAAGTAAACAAGTATAGTCTAGGCCAGCTTTCGCCGTTTCTTTATCTACAGATCATTCAAAGTGCAACTAAGTGCAACTGTATGCATAGGGTAGTTTCTGCAAAAGATGCTAAAAGAGATAGTAAAAAATGCCTCATGGAGAGTTGATGATAGATGGTGTATATGGGAAGTGGAAAGTTTATTCTTCTTCAGTTGAGAGGCTATATGTTGTACAAACTTATTACTACTGAATTACAGGTTGAGCTCATGTTTGGAAATAGAATACATCTCTGTAGTATTGTGAAAATAATAAATAAAATGGTCATCATATAGTCATGATTCTATATTTCTAAATAAAATGGTAATCAAAACAAATATGTCTAATCTGCCTATACATTTGGTCATGATTCTTTACTTAAGCCAGATGGATTGCTCTTTCACTCCATCATTTTCGTTTATCCCAGTGCCGCAAAGGCTCCCACCTACGGTGGGGTAAGGGGATGGATTGCTCTTTCACTCATTGTGACAAAAAATTAGCAGGGAGTTTGGGGAACCTGACTGCTCTACTCTGTGGCTCTACTGTTAATGATGATGATTCTCCTTCAGGTTTCTTATTCTGCATGTTTCTTGCAATTTCAACACAAACACAATCAACCATTCCGAGAAAATCCCCGGTTATTACAAATAGTTGAAGTGGCTGCCATGTTTTACTTCTAAAAGCTCCTGCTTGATAGTAATCTGTTGTCCTCTCCACAAGCTCCATCACTCTTATTTGTTCTACCCGTGCTGCCTTGATCTCCCCTTTAGCATCGTTTAGAAACTGTTTCATTTCTGTTGCAAACCTTCCTCCATCAGTACATTGTGCCAAAAATTTCCCGATATCAGATGCTTGAGATGATAGCATCAAATATGTTTTAGATATGGACTCATAGTCTATCGCTGCCGCCTTTTTCACATAGGTTAACTCAGAACTTAGGCCACCAACTACAGGTAAACCAAAAATAACGTATTCCTTCTCTTTGTCATCATCTGAGCTTCCAATACCATTGGTTGGGCTATTATCATTATTAGTAGTAGTTCTACTTAAACAGCGTTTCCCCTCTGCTCTTACTACTTCTTGGACAACAAACTGGAGCAGTGTAGTCTTTCCATCAATACTCTTTACATCAGAAAGCTTCCTGAGAGCTGTAAGGTTAAAGACTTGTGCATCTCCTCTTGAGGCCCCTGCATTCATTCGGTTCCCTGTTTTCAAAACGGCTTCCAATAGTTTCATGAAGAGTGTTTGACCCCTAAGCTCATTGCAAGCCTGTTCCAGTGTAAGTAAAGACTGGTTGAGTTGGTGGATCTGTGGTCTGAAATTTGATCTGAAAAGCATGGCATTGAAACGAGAGAATGCAGATGGAATGGATTTGAGGATATGAAAGAGGAAGGATTCGGAATCAGCCAGCCTTGTCGGGTTTCCAGCAAAATTAAGGATTTCTGATTCTTCTTCTCTGGTTGGGGCAATTCTGCACAGCTTCTCCAGAGTTTCTGTATTCAGACCTTCTCCTTTGTTGAGTGCATCAATGATCTCCCTGCGAGTAACCCCAAGGGACTTGAGAATGATTGCTATATTCTCTGACTTTTTGGTTTCGAGAATGAATATCGGTGGGGTGGGACCTGTTGCTTTGTTGTCCCCTATATTATTCTGTGAGCTGCTTTCTCCTTTTGGTGATTTTTGATTTGTAGCAACATATCCAAATAGCGCATCCAGGGGACCTCCATTAAACCTGAATTGCCAAATAAGTGGTAACTTGTAAGGATTCAAAAAAAGTTGTATTTAGAGAGCGAAGAAGAAAAAAGAAGTCAAAGAAGAAGAAGACAGGTAAAGAACGCTTACGTGAAGGAACCACTTTCCATTTTGTCCCCAGTCATTGAATGATCAGCAACATGAATAAGTTCATCGCAATGCAAAGGCTCCATTTTCACCTCTTTTTCTCCATCTCCCGAAGTAACTTCTTCTGATGAAGTCATTCCTTTAGGTGGTAGTGATGGACCGGATGGCGGTGCAATTGCCCTAAAAGAAGATGCCTTTGAAAATTCATGATCAGTCAATGGCGGCGAATTCAATTCTGGTTGGCTTACAGAATCTTGTTTGTCAACAAACTCATTAAGAGCAACAATTTGAAAAGTAGGAGGTCTAAGCAGCGCTTTGTTTTCTGAATCGGCCCAAGTGGGATGATGAGAGGATGAAGACTGGCCTCTAAGAAGAGGGATTTCTTGGGTTGGTGGTGTTTCAGGTTTCTTTCTGCTATTATTGCTGAAAACCTGTCTTTTGAAACTCCCCTTGTGATCTCCATTTTCCAAATTTCTCCAATAAAGAACATCTAGACCTTCCTCATCAACAATCACCCCCTCTATCTTCATCCCTCCGAACATCATTAACTCATCTCCACGCCTACTTTTTTCAGGATAAGGGTCGGCATAAGGACTCATACCAGCAGCAGCTGTAGGACTGCCTCTCTCCATGGAGTACCTAAAAAGTAAGAAGAGTATTACAGATAGGATTAGTATCCCAGGAGCTGTCACTCCAATGGCAATTCTAATTGCCTTCTTCTTCCGTGATGGTGGTGGTGGAGGAGGAGGGGATGGTGGAAGTAAGGATGGATGAGCCGGCAGCCTACTTGTTGGAACTCGCGGTGGCTCAAGGGGAGGCAGGGGAAATGGATAGAAAGTCTGAATGTTTTGGGGCTGAGAAAAAAACTGAGGGATTTCTAAAAGAATGACGAGCAATGAGAAAAGGGTGTGAATAAGATTTATTGGTTGAAAAAGTATACGAACAGCCATGGATTCTTGATTGAAAGCTGTGAATTAGAAGAAGAAGATGAAGAAGAAGAGTGGGCATTCTGTTCTGCCTTTTGCATTCTGATATACTTTCTCGCTTTTGGACTTCGCCCTTCTTAGGAGGAGTTGGTTTGCTGCTGACGGTTTCAAATAGGTGAAGTGGTTGATTCTTTCTGAGTTCTGATATTCTGTTCTCTTATATCTCCCCTTTGAATTAAAATGACAAAAAAATCCCGACACCCACACCATATGGACAAATTACTTCGACCTTTTTATTGAAAAAGAATTGTTTGACTTTGACTATACTCTTACTTTTATACGTATTCACATATCTCGTCGACTTTTGTGGTTTTCTCATCTAACAAATTAGACTTCATTTTACTTTCTGTTACTTTAAATTTTTTTATGGAGTATTTTTCAATTTTCACCATTCAATTGTTTTTTTATGATTATAATTATTTTAAAAAAATAGAACATTATATTATCATTTTTTCAGTTTTCAAAATTTTAATGATATTGATTAGTACATCTTTTGGAATTATATACTACGTGTTGGCGTATATAGAGTAATCCTAAACAATGATTTATTAGCGACACCATGATGGACATTCTCCGTTAGATTATTGGATTCATCTAAGGAGGATTTCCCAAATAAGAGTAAATGGAGATTGGAATTCCAAAATAAGATTACTATGATTTTATTCCTGAAATAGGACTAACATGACAGTATTTACTTAGTGTTGGATTCGGGTCGGGCCACCCGACCCGCTACTTTGCGGGACCGGGACCGGCCCGGTTCTCGGGTCCGGGTCCGGGTCGGATCTAGGCCCGGGGGTAGGACGGGTCCGGGCTCGGGTCTCACATTTGGCGAACCGGCCCGGCCGGGTCGGACCCGGGCCCGAGCCAAATTGATTTTTTTTTCATTTTTGGGGTTCCACCCGGGTTGGGCTTGATGGTTAGGATGGGTTGGGGGGGTTGGGAGGGTGGGGGGGTGAGGGGGGGGTTAGGAAAGCAAAAAAAAATATCCAAACCGGAGGCTCGGCCCGGACCCGGACCGGACCCGGTGGCTACCCGGGCCGGTCTCGGGTCCACCATTTTTGAACCGCCGGCTCGCCCGAGCCTAGGCCCTACCCGGACCCGGCCCGGACCCGAGTCCACCCCTATATTTACTGTCATCTTGTAGATGTGACTGCCAAATAGTTGCAGTACAGTGCATTTAACACGACCGTATTTATTATAATTAATGACAGTATTTTTTGATCATGACAGTGTTTTTCATACATGACAGTAACAACTCTTATTTCGGGAAGAAAAATATAGTAGTCCTATTTTGATATTCCAAACCTCATTTACTTACTCCTATTTAGGGTCAATTTTCCTTTATCATCAAATTATTATGTTTTTGTATCGATTTTGAAAGCAATTTTTTTAATAATACAAATATGAGTTTCTCAAACTATCGAAAATGACATCTTTCATGGGTGAGCTGTTTGAAAATGGTTTGCACTTTGCATTCGACATTTCATGTTTTTATTTTATTTTTTGCTCTATTAGTCTATTACTCCGTACTATTGTTAAGATTATTTAAAATGTTGATTGTTTTCGTTTGTTTAAAATTAAGAGAGCCTTCAAGGTTAATAATAGCTTAAGGCTAAGTTGTTATCAGTGATTTGAGTTACTCATATAAGGACGATCGTTTTCATATCTGATTATTGAGAAGAAAATTACCATTCTACCTCCACATAAACACAACACCATTATTCATCTAATTTTGTCTCATGGTTGAGTAGTCTAGTTCAAACGAAGTTTATTAGTACCTGACAAGAACAATTATTTTGAAGTTCGAATAACTTAGACACTAAGAGTCCGTTTGGCAGCACAAAAATTAGCTGTTTTGGCTGATTCTGCTGAAATATATGAAGTTCTGACTGAAGTGGCTACATTGGCTGATTCTGTTGTTTTAAGAAAAAATTCTTTTTAAAATATATTTAATTAATAAAATAAAGAAAAATTATATGTTAAAATAGCTAAAATGGTCATCTACAGTAACTTCAACCAATACAGCCAGAAAAGTAACTTCAACCTTACTTTTTCTGCTTATTACACAATTCAGCGCGCGCAAGCAAAACTTACGTGTTTGGTGAAAAAGTTGGCTGATAAGCCTGATAAGCTGAAAAACAATGTTGCCAAACGCCCTCTAAGTGTCCTTTTGGATAGCATCAAATCGCTGAAAAATTGAACTATGAAACGCTGCAAATGCAGCGGGTAACACCAAATCACGCTGAAAAAACAAACGGGTCTAAGTAACCAGTAATCCAACTAGACAAACAAAACATGTACTTATTGCTTTACTCCCTCCGTCCCTCTTATATTAATCCATTTTACCTTTTCGGTAAGTTCCACTAAAATTGTCTCATACCATATTTGATAAAGTTTGTGTGGTTCTAAATCATTCTTACTTTATTCTTACTTTATCAATTAATATCAACCACACAATCCCACTTTTCTTAATAATCGTGTCACTCTCTTCCGACCCAATATAAGAGGGACGGAGATAGTATTTATTTATTTCTAGTATAACAAAACATATCTCAAGATAAGCCAAACATGGTGACTTAATTTGTTTGGTTTGCTTCTAGAAGATGTGACTTTTGAAATTAGTTTGGAGTTTAGTCCAATTTGGCAGATTTTCTTTCACCATTCGATATACACACCCTTGTACACACCTTATACACACCATGTTTGTGAAGCTTTTTTTTGTTTGTGAATCCGGTTCACAGACAATATTTTGTTTGTGCAAAACATTGTCTGTGAATCAATGTTCACAGACAAAAAAAAACTTTCACAGACATATATGTGTATAAAAGTGTGCATAAGAATGTGTACAAACATCATTTTTGATTTTATTATTCCATAGGGACCATTGAGATTCGCGTACGAGACACGCTTTTGAAGAATTCATTCATACGGAGTACATGTCATGTCAGTGCCAAACACACCCTTACTAATTCACACTTGATTGATATAGATTTGAAAGTCGTAGTCAAAAGGGCATTTTTGTCAATTTCCTACAGGTCAATAGTTGGTGGAAAATATTGTTTGTCCAAAGTGCAGGCCGCCTTTCCAGTTTCCATTGAATTGAAATGTTCTCCGGCTCTTTCGGTCGGCAGGGGCTGTGGGCCTGTCGCTCACAAATTACTCCTTCCGTCCCAATTTGATGGTCTTATTTCTCTTGGACACAAGTTTTAATAAAGTGGTCGAAAAGGTACAAATTGTGGTTGAGATTTGAATATAATAAAGTAAAATGATATGGATCACATCTTTATTTCCAAAAAGAGAAACATGACCATCATTTTGGGACATCCCAAAAAGGAAATACAGGACCATCATTTTGGGACGGAGGTAGTACTAGTTAGTCAAAGTCAAAAAAAAAGATGACACCTCATCCCTGAGGGCCCCCAATCCCGACCGGACGGTACGTTGGAAGGATGTAAATTAGACTATAATCTCAATCTGACAGATAGAGAGTGAGACTCTGTCCTCGGTACTTACAAAGGCCCTATGCATTTTTAGCATAGTAACCCTTAATCGCAATTGCCGAGATTCGAATTCGGGACCTAACCCTTGTGGCACTCCCTTGCTACCAGTTGAGCTACGCCCACCGGTATAGTTAGTCCAAGTCATGAACGCATATGTAGTACGAGTACTCCGTTAACGATACCGGGCATAACTCACATGGCATAAAGATAGGAAGAGGGTTCCACACGGGAGAGATCCCGAGTTCAAGAAGCAATGACTTGAGATGAAGTTCAATCTCTTTCCATCAGAGTGAGATTAAAGTTCAACTTATATCCTCTCATATAGTTGTCGAGTCGGTTCGTGAGGACCCTCAGGGATGAGTGTCATCCCTTTTCCCGTAAAAGATAAAAGAGTAATTCTTGTGTTCACAAATTGTATACTATCTATACACTGATACACAAGTATTTTGACACAACATCCTGTCATTTTTCGAACAAATTGCCTGTACACATAGACCACTAGAGGATTGTGTACAAATTCTGTACTAATTCTATCTACAACAGGATTTTTTCAAGATACAAATAGAAACACAAACTAAATGGAAATTGAATCGAGAAGATTAGCTTAAAAAGTTACATAACACATGCAAACTAATTACAATATATATGATGAATTGTGTGATAATCAAAATAAGTAAATTTAAAATTTCTTTTCTGATTGAACTGACTAAAATTACTGTAGATGGTCAATTTAGCTAGTTTTCATATGATTTTTTCTTTATTTCATTAATAAAATATATTTTAAATATAAATTTTCCATAGTTTAGCAGATTCAGTCAGTTCAGCCCGAATTTCATGAATTTCAACAGATTCATTTAATTCCAGTATTACCAAACGAACTCTTAAAATAACCCTTATTTTATATTTATCTTCTCTAGTGCGACCATAGATATTTGTTGAACATATATCCGTTTTGATTACTTTGATACCTTTAGGATGAGTTATGAGTATGTAAGTTATGAGTATGTATGTCTGATTGGTTCATGGCTGTAAATCGATTGATATGAAAGGGGGTTTCCAGATACCATTTCCAAAAGTATTTAATACGTAGTATGAACTAAATTAAGTAAACTTGTGGCTGTTTTCTCTCTTATTAAATGGCAACTTAATTCTATAAGTGTGGTCCTCGTTGCTGAACAGTATAATATGCTAATTAGATTTGTTATGTGTACACAGAATTGAGAATTGTATATATTTATCGAGAAATGATACGATATATTGAGGGATCAAACCTACTTTTTTTTATCATAAAAGAACGGTTGTTATATTAAAATCGAGAACAAATACAAGACAAACTTCAGACATAAATTACAGATCCAATCGTGAACTCTAGTAGTAGATTTAAAGTCAGCCACCTCATACAAAGCAACATGACTCGCTAAACCTGAAATGGGCAAATTTAGGCCTAAAACGATCGGAACCAAACCCCTGCCTATCAAAAGAACTCAAAAAATCCAAACATTCAAACCAAATCTACTCGGACTAAAACAGAAACAAGTGCTACTAAAGAGAAAATAATATTGAAATAAAATCCTTCCACAAAACTCTTTCTGGTATGGAGGTGGTTCCAGAGGAGGACGAGCTCTTACAATATGGATGAATACAAACTCCGCCACCGTTGTAATGGCCGACCAAAGCTTCATGATCCCGCCTCGATACAACC